CCAGATACAGAACATCTCCAGTGCCCTAGGGGTTTCTCTTATCCCCCTCCCAGTATTCTGACCTCTGTCACCATAGATAACCTTAGCCTGTTCTTGAACTTCATATAAATGGAATCATACAGGATGCTCTCTTTATGTCTCTCAGCATTTTCTATGGGATTCATCTCTGTTGCTGGGTGTATTCATTCTGTTGATGTGTAGTAAGTATCCCATTATATCATGGTTTCTCAACTGTGGTGTTATTGACATTTTGAGCTGAATAATTCTTTCTTGTGGGGACTGTCTTATGTAGTATAGGGTATTTAGCAACATCTCTCTGGCCTCTTCTCATTAAAGGCTAGTACCACCACCTCTCACTCCATTAATTTCCCCTAGAATTGAAAACCATTGAGTCATATAAATACACTACAACTTTTGAGAAACTCTTTATTTGAAAATAACTTCAAACTTAGTATAAAGTTTCAAAGAATGGAACAAATAATAGAGTGTACTCTTTACCTAGATTAACCTATTATTCACATTTTACTCCTTTTTTAAAAAATCATTTTCTCTCCCTTGCTCACACATATGCCCAAACAATTTATTTCTGAACCACTTGAGAGCAATAGTATTCACCTTGACCATTTACCATTGTTTACTTCCACATGTATTTCCCAAGAATAAGGGTCTTCTCCAACACTATCATACTTATCAGTTAACCACAACAAATGTAGCATAATACATTTATCAATTGCCCATGACCCAATTTTTGTCACTTGATCAACAATTACTCTTTATATAATTTATTTCACTACAGAGAAAGTTCCAGTCCAGGATCAGGTATTATATATATTTGCCATGGTTCTTAGTATCCTTCAGTCTAGAAAGCCTTTCTTTGTCTTTTATGATACTGATTTTTTTTAAAGAATACAATCTCCTTACTTTTTAGTAGAACAGTCCTCATTTGGAGGTTTGTCTGATATTTCCTCCCAAATACATTCAGGTTATGCATTCTTGACTAGAAAACTGAATAAGAACATCCCACCCAAGGCACATGAGGTCCAGTTGCACCTCGTTAGTTATACTAAATTTGATCTTGACTGCATAGTTACTAAATTTTCTTTATAGCTAATAAGCAATATGTGGGTAAACACTAAAGACCATACTAGTATTCTGCTCCCCCCTCAGGTTTACCCTCAAAATTTAGCATACTTTGAGTCTTACATGAACCAATCTTTACCTACAAGGATTATAAATCCAGCACTCCTGTCTGCACTCACTCTGAGTGCTCTGCTGTATAGAAGAGCCCACTCTTTCCTCCACTTAATTATTGATTTTATCAGTTATCAGTATGGATTCATGAATTCCTATCTTTTTCAGTGGTTTATAAATCATTACTGCTTTTAGAGGCTTCTGGCCAAAATGGAGGCATAGGTAGATACACTCTGCCTCCTCACACAACCAAAAGAAGGACAACAACAAATTTAAAAACAAAAAAAAAGAACTGCCAGAACTGCCAGAAAATCAAACTGTATGGAAGTCCAACAACCAAGGAGTTAAAAAAGAAACATTCATCCATGCTGGTAGGAGGGGCAGAGACAGGCAGCCACGGCAGAGAAGACACATGGCAAGGCAGCAACTGGCAAAGCAGGTGGTCCTACATTTGAGTGCACATAAACTGGGAGGGACAATTCCCAGTTTAGTGTTCTTGTCTCACTCCCCAGGAACAACTGAGGAGTGAGACAGACCATGAAACCCAGAGTTCCAGCACAGGGAAATAAAGCTTCAAAACCTCCGACTAAAAATTTGTGGGGATTGCTGTGGCAGGAGAAACTCCCAACTTCACAGGACAGTTTGTTGGAGAGACCCATGGGGTCCTAGAACATAAACAAACCTACCCACCTTGGAATCAGCACCAGAAGGGCCAAATTTGCATGTGGGTAGTGAGCAAAGTGACTGACAGCCAGCCGAAAGCTGAGCAAACATCATTGTTCCCTCTTGGACCCCTCCCCCACATACAGCACCACAACACAGCAAAGTGGGTTGCCCTGGTGAATACCTAAAGATCCCACCCCTTACTACATCAGAGATATGCCTAGACAAAAAAAAATATGGCCCGAATGAAAGAACAGATCAAAGCTCCAGGAAAAATACAACTAAGCAATGAAGAGAGAGCTAACCTACCAGATGCAGAGTTCAAAACACTGATAATCAGGATTCTCACAGAAATGGTTGAGTATGGTCACAAAATAGAGGAAAAAATGAAGGCTATGCAAAATGAAGTAAAGGAAAATATACATGGAACCAGGAGTGACAGGAAGGAAACCAGGACTCAAATCAATGGTTTGGAGCAGAAGGAAGAGTAAAACATTCAACCAAAACAGAATAAAGAAACAAGAATTCAAAAACATGAGGCAAGGCTTAGGAACCTCCAGGACAACTTTAAATGTGCCAACATCCAAATCATAAGGGTGCCAGAGGGGAAGAGGAAGAGCAAGAAATTGAAAACTTATTTGAAAAAATAATAAAGGAGAATTTCCCCAGTCTGGCAAAGGAAATAGACTTCCAAGAAGTCTAGGAGGCTCAGACAGTCCCAAAGAAGTTGGACCCAAGGAAGCACACACCAAGGCACATCATAATTACATTAGCCAAGATTAAAAATAAGGATAGAATCTTAAAAGCAGTGAGACAAAAGGAGAGAGTTACCTACAAAGGAGTGCCCATAAGACTATCAGCTGATTTCTCAAAAGAAACCTTACTGGCAGGAAGGGGCTAGAAAGAAGTATTCAAAGTGATGAAAAGCAAGGACCTACAACCAATATTACTCTATTCAGCAAAACTATCATTTAGAAAAGAAGGGCAGATAAAGTGCTTCCCAGATAAGGTCAAGTTAAAGGAGTTCATCATCACCAAGCCCTTATTATATGAAATGTTAAAGGGACTTACTAAGAAAAAGAAGATAAAAATCATGAACAGTAAAATGACAACAAACTCCCAACTATCAACAACTGAACCTAAAAAAAAAAAAAAAAGCAAAAACAAATAAGCAAACAACTAGAACAGGAACAGAATCACAGGGAGGATTATCAGCCAGGAGGGGAAGATGGTGGAAAAGGTACAGGGAATAAGAAGCACAATGGTAGGTACAAAGTAGAGAGGGGGAGATTAAGAATAGTATGGGAAATGGAGAAACCAAAGAACTTATATGTAGAACCCATAGACATGAACTATGATGGGGGAGTGCTGGTGGGAGGGGGTGGTGCAGGGCAGAAGTGAATAAAGGGGAGAGAAAAATGGGACAACTGTAATAGCATAATCAATAAAATATATTTAAAATAATATAAATCATTACTATTTTTAAATATTGTGATGCTCAAATTGCTCACCTTTGGCTGGTGGGAATCCCTTGAATTTGGGCCTGATGTTCTTCTGACAAACTCCCATCACTTTTTATTTTAACACATCTTACTTTTTAGCATAACAAGATGTTCCAGGCTCATCCTTTACCTTCACTTCTTCTGTACTTGAATTAGCCATTTCTCCAAAGAATCCTAGTTCCTTTTAATGGGGAAGGGTAGAAAGTACAACTTATTCATCCTTTTTCCTGTGTATTAACATTTTAGTTGTTTCTTATGCTGGGCTATTGTAAAGAAAGCTTATCTGAATACCCCTGTACCTCTTTTGAACTGATTTCTTTGGGGATGTAATCAGAGTGGTGATAGAAAATTCATAGAATCTCCATTCTGGTTATATACCCAACAGAAGCGAATAAGTGCATTAAAAAGGTACACTGAATATGTGTCCTTTGAAAAAGCTGCTTTGAATATAAGCAGCTTTTTCTCATAATTTGTGTGTGTGTGTGTGTGTGCCTGTGTTCTTAGCTTTAGTAGATATTGATAAATACTTTTTCAAAGTGCTCATAATATTTGTTTATCTAGGGAGCAGTAGTAAGTTGTTACCCCAGTAGGTAGGGAGGAGTAATCAGTGGTAGGGGATGATAATGGGCCACAGCAATCCAAAGACATGTTGTCTGCAGCCAGAAATGGCAAAATTGCTGATCCTTTCAGTAGATAAATGATAAGTGACAAATGACAAGATTTTGCCACCTGGCCCATTCTTTAGCTTCTCTTTAGAGTGCTGCTTTGAGATGGGCAACATGGAAGTGACTGAAGTCAGGAATCACCTGCAACTTTCAAAATGGTTTTTATCTCAGGGATACCAGTGACAGTACTTCAGGAATGCAGGTCCACTGCTAGGAGTACTTGCTGTTAGAGAGCATTAGGGTCGCTGCTTTGTTTTAAAAAGTGCCTCCTCAAGGGAAGGAAGAATGTCCCCAGAGTCCCACTCACATCTTCTGGCTGCTGGGGGCCCATTTAGAATCCTGGAATAGTCATTTCACTAAACAGTCTGAGAGAGGAAAAGTCTCTCTGTCTATACCCAGGGAGTCACTTAGTTTTCAAAACATCTGAAATGGGGGCTGAGGGATAGAAAGCAGATCAGAAAACTGCTGAAAGCTAAATAGGGGAGTAAACTGGTCCAGCATTATGGGCCTAGATTCTAGGCTGAGTTTGGCCAGGAAGTGCTTGGGCAAGGCCCCGTCTCTATAGCTCAAAGTTTCCTTGTCCAAAATATCTGCCCTAGGTAGCTTAGAGTGCATTACTAAAATCAAAGAGGTAATTGAAACACTTTTTGTAGAAAGAAGTGCTAAACAGAAAAAACATCATATTCAAGATATACAATAGGCTCTTAGTAGCTTTGATGAAACTTTGGCGGTATTAACTAGTAAACTGCATGTCTATGGATGCATTTCGGACAGGTGCCCCCTCAAGGCAGTACTGCCACTCAGTGGAGTGGGGAGGGCCCTCCTACCCATTTTCTGAGCAAGCCTTTGTGCAGCGTCTGCTCTAGAACCCCACACATTGACCCTGAACAGAGACTGTTCACATGACCAGCAGCGACGGTGAACCCCATTGTTGCACCTGTGTATTAACCTCCAGGGTCCTCCCCTCTCTCCCCCACAGGCCTCTCCGCGGATGGTGGCGCCAAGCGCCAGGAGCACCTCTCCCGGTTTTCCATGCCTGACCTCAGCAAAGACTCTGGCATGAACGTCTCTGAGAAGCTTAGCAACATGGGCACACTTAACTCGTCCATGCAGTTCCGGAGTGCGGAGTCCGTTCGCAGCCTGCTCTCAGCCCAGCAGTACCAGGAGATGGAGGGAAACCTCCATCAACTCGGCAACCCCATTGGCTACAGGGACCTGCAGTCCCGCAGCAGGATGCATCAGAGCTTTGATTTTGATGGAGGAGTGACAGGCAGCAAGCTGCCGGGGCAGGAGAGCGTGAGGATCCAGCCCATGAGCGAACGTACACGGAGAAGAAGCACCTCCCGTGAAGATAGCCGCCGCTTCCGACCGCACAGATCCAGGAGGTCCCGACGCTCCCGTTCAGATAACGCCCTGCACCTGGCCAGCGAGCGTGATGCCATCTCTCGCTTGAAAGAAAGGCCCCCGCTCCGAGCCAGAGAGGACTATGACCAATTCATGCGCCAGCGGAGCTTCCAGGAGAGCCTGGGCCAGGGGTCCCGGAGGGACCTGTACAGCCAGTGCCCAAGGACTGTGTCAGACCTGGCTTTGCAGAATGCTTTTGGGGAGCGATGGGGACCCTACTTCACCGAGTACGATTGGTGTTCTACCTGCTCCTCCTCCTCAGAGTCCGACAATGAGGGCTACTTCCTAGGAGAACCAATTCCCCAGCCAGCCCGCCTGCGATATGTCACAAGCGATGAGCTTCTGCACAAATACAGCTCTTACGGCCTCCCCAAGTCATCCACCTTAGGTGGCAGGGGACAGTTGCACAGCAGGAAAAGACAAAAGAGCAAAAACTGTATTATTTCTTAATCTGATTGGTGTCAGGGAATAGGGGAAGATGGGAGCTAAGAATGTAAATTCGGAAACTTGCACTGTTTTAAATTTTAAAGCGCTTTTCGAGGTGGTTACTAGGGGAGAAAAAGGGACATGCTCTCGCTTGATGAAGGAAAGATTACAGATTGGCTCGTCTGGTAGTCACAGTTCTTGGCATGTTGAATATTATTTGCACATTTCACTTTGGAGACGCTATAGACTCTGTGGAGGCCAGGGGTGGTCACCTCCCTCCCATCAGTGTGTTGAGTTGCCACTCGCAAGATGATAAATTGCTTCCTGCTCGCTTGTATCCTCTCTGATTCTCTTACTTTTAGGACCCTTTTCCCAGTAAGTGATTTGTTTATTAGCCAAAACCCAAGTCTAAGTTATTTACATGTCCATTGTAAATGCAATGTAAATGAGAGTTCTGATAAAATATTTTTGTATTTTGTAATATCAAAGGAATTTCTATATCGTAGGACTCAGTTGAAGACCTGCATGCACATCCAGCATTGTCTTTGAGTAGTATTCAGAGGTGGTCCAGGACCACCTTTTGTTTTTTCTTTTTTCTATACAAATTTGTTACATGTCAGTGACACTTTTTTCAAATGAATTTATTCTATTTGGCTTTTTGTGGCTAAAAAAATTATTATACTCAAAACATGTTATGCTCTATTCCACTTAAGGAACCATCCTTAAGTCCACTTCCACCCTCAGTAGAATGTATTCTCTACCAAGTGATAGTCATTTTTTTTAAATAGCAAATATAACTTTGCCAATTAGAGAAACCAATCAGTGTCAGTAAATTCTGTGAGAAACACCATCCCTGCTGGGAACACTGAAGTTGCTCACTATTGATCTCTCCCTTGGGAAAATATCAGTGACTGTGAGTGGTGTTGTGTGATGTCAGCATGACATTGTTTGAGTGTGGCATTATTTTCTGGTGCTCATGTTTCCTGGATTGTATTATCTGCTTTCCTTTACCAAGGCAGACAGAACAGCTGCCTTAGCCTGACAACCGGTTGTCCTCAGTGCAAATGAACTTAAGCATTAGGATCTTGGGAACAGGGAGGTTCTGATGGGGCTCTGGGAGTGATGGTATGTTCTAGATTATATGTTATACATGGAGAAGGAATAAGGTGATTTGAAATCAGAAAGCAGGTCAGGGGCAGAAATGAAGGATCATATGAAGGTCAGGGCAAAGAAGAACTTCTAGAAATGAAATAGAGGAGAGGTGACAGCCATCTTGAATAGCCCCTAGTGTTTACGGAAGGAATCCAATTTAACACACTCCCTGGCCAGAGCATCTGGGTAACCCAGAAAGGTTGAGCTGCTCAGGAGATTTCAGTGTAGTGATCTTGAAAAACAAGTGTTGAAAGGAAGATTTCCATTTTGAACTTTGGGGACCTTGGGTCAGACAGAAGATGGGCTCAAAAGTGAGTTTGCTTAAAGAAGACATTTAACGGTTGTGTTGTTTATAGTAAAATAATACTTCCTACCTTGCTTCAGTTAAAAATGAAGCGCTTGCTTTTTCCTCCATTCTTCTCCTCCCCTTTATGGATTGTGGCCATTGAAATAATCCATCACAGGACCCACTTTTAGTAAGATGTGTTGTCCATGTGCTACACGATGTATCTCAGTGGCCATCTGCCATGGTGAGGTGAGCGTGATCTCTTTTCAGTATAATAGTTAATATTTTCTAGTATTTTTTATGGAGAGAATGTGAAAAGTGGCTTTTCAGATACCATGCCAAATGGGTCTGGGGAAAGGAAGGCTGTACAGGATGTGGAAATGGCACTCCATTCAGGATGTATTAAAATAATTTGCTTTTCAGGTATTAATATGACATTTGTCATTGTCACTGATTTTTTAAAAATGCAATGCAAATGTTGGTTGTGGCTGTTTTCCGCATGCTATCTTCATATCTAAATGCTTCATTAATTATCCAAGCCTCTGGAGAATTAACTCTATTACGTTTATATAGGAAGTTTGTAAACTGCTTGGCAAACTGATTTTAAGAAATAATGTGCAACACCACACGACTAAAGTGGTGGGTTTCTGGTAGAAATTGGGCAAGTCCAATTTGGATTTCTGAGTTTCTTGATTGATGAAAACAAAAGGCATTTTGGAAAAAGGAAAAAGAGAAAAAGTGATGACCTGACCTGGCAAAAAGCTGAAAACAATGTCTATCCTCTGTGGCCTGGAATCCAATGAAAGAAATTCTCCTAGTAAATGTTGCTTCCTAACTCTGCCCTTTTCAGAGTACCTCTTGCATTTCCCAGATGGGGCTTTAACCCTATCAGCAGAAACTGACACATAAATAGTGTCCAAAGGGATTGGAGGAATGAGCAATTTGAGATCTATGTGCCCCATGAGCACCCAGCAGCCGAACTGGTCAGAGCTTGAGATGTAATCAATAAAAGCCTCAGGGTCAACTGTCTACAGACAAGATCACCTCCATGTAGTCCAGCACTGCAGGGGCCTTCCCACCCCACACTCAATCAGGCACCTTACAGAGAATGCTGACATAGAGTGACTAAATTCTCGAAATGATGATGAAACCTCCAGGTGAATGCCCCAGGGAGAGCAGGGTGGCATTGTACTGGGAATTCCACCTGTTAGTGATAACTTACATATAACATCCCAGAATACAATTTCCAAAAATTCAAAGCATTTTCTGAGGCATGAACTTAGGGTCCTTACCTGATTCCTCCATCATAATCATCAGCTCTCCTTGGTCAACTTTCACTGTGAGTCAGGGATGTGCTCACCTCTTCTTACATCATCGTTCTGTCTTCTGTAGACTGGTTTTATCAAAGTAATCTTTTCCCAGTTTTCTCTGCTCTAATGTCATATGGTTTTGTTTGTTTTTCTACCTTTTCTCATGTTGGTCCTCTTCTTGTCTTGGTTAACACCATATTTTCTGAGTTCAGTTCATGTCCTATTTGCTGCTCAATTCAGTGGCATCAGAACTGGCTCTTTCCCAAGAAGTAGAAGTTATTGACAGTGCCCTGAATGGTGCTGCCAATATATACCATTGTTGATACTGTGAACAGGTTTCATAGTAGGCTGCTGGCATTGAGAGTGGCATTCAGGTACCCTTCCTTCTGTTGTGTAGTTCTGGGATCTCTACCAATTGAAGGTGGATGAGCTGAGGGAAACCAGAACTGTGCTTCTTGGTCTTGCACATGTTCAAAAGGGGAGAATCTCTAGCATTGATTGTTTGACAGCTTCTTTCCATATTCATGTTTTTTCTGGTCCTTCCTTTCCACCCCCAGCCAGCCCAGTGACCAAGCAATTTTGTATTATTAATATGGGACCTAGAGGCAGCTCTTCCTCATCCACTTCTCATTCTGTAGGATACTCCTGCACTGCAACAAGTTCTTCTCCTGCAGCAGCTTTCTGCTTCCTGGGCATCACTAGCAGTGGTTGAGTTCAGGTGGGGCCAGTGATGGCATATACATAGCATGTACTCTGCAACCTGGGCAGATATAACCAATGTGTCACAGTCTATTTTCAGAGAACATAGATACAGCCTCAAAAATCTTGTGACATTCTAGCCAGCCAGAACTGGTTATCAGTACTGATCTTATTTGTCTGATAACAAACCTTTCTTGTGAACTGTTTCTTACTTGTCTTTAAACCTGGGCTCTTTTACCATTGGCCAAAAATAGTACACCAGCCACTTAAGAAGCATCATTTATAAATAATTGTGAGACTCCAATTCCTATGTCCCCAGATTATGAGTGCTAATGGGAGCTGACTTTTTAGCTGACTCTGATTCTTTAGGCTAAAGGAAGACAAATCTCTTTGGCCTCCTTTCCCCTCCTCATGTTACTGGCCAGTTATTATAGGCAGCCTCTGTTTGTCTTCTTGCAGAGGTCAGATAGGAGTCCATCTTATTCTTCATCTAATCCCACCTTCTAACAAGAAATAACACAAATACTTAAATTCTAAGGAGAAGTGCTCTTTGTGTATTTCTGTCTAACAGAAACCATATGCTAACACATAAGAAGGAGAATCTATGAAAAGGGAAGTGGAAGATGGAACCAGCTATCTGAATATTCATGCCAGAAGAGTTGCTGTTAGCAACTGTTTGGCAGCTTTGGGGCTTTGAAATGGCCTCTGGACTGCATTCCAGGTGCAGGACTCAGCCAAGCCTCCTCTGTGATTTGGAAGACAGTTTCATGCTGCCTTTTGAGGTATAGATATTTAAGCACTAGGGAAGTAGACATGATGAGAATTTTGCCTTGCCTCCTGTGGTTTGTCCCTCTGGGACGTAGCAGATACCAATGCTTGTTTGACCACTTGGAAGCAGTCACCAAGTTTAGGATCATGAAAGGATTTGATTCTTTTTCCATTTTCTCATAATAGTAGCCCAGTCAACGCAAGACTCATAAAACATGACTCACTGTTGGGAGCTATACTATTTTATAGGCTTACTTCCTGCTGACAAAACTAGCTTTCTCAAGGGGAATAAAAAGGAGGGAGGAAAAGTCACAGTGTTAGGAAAACATTTCTATTATTTTGATATGATGAATCCATAGGATAGAAAAAAAATGTCTATCCTGAGAGTTTTCTGAGACATCCCTTCACTCTACTGGGCATTTGGCCTTTGATGTTCAGTAGGTCACTGACCAAGCTTTTGTAAATTTCATGAAGAGAGTTACTCACCAGTAAGTTCTCTCCTCAAGTCTTCCTGGTGATTTCCTATTTCCCCATAAAACATTTTGGTTCTATTTATGGACCCTGACTTAACACTCTGTGGCCTATGAGTCCTCCATTTTCCTTAGCAAATAAGGACTTTAGCAGTTTCCCCCGTACTAAATATTCTTTCCTGTACAGGATTGCTTTGCCATCTCCTGCTTTAATTCCAAGTGCATAAACAAAACCTCAGAGGGCCTGAGAAGGTGAGGCAGGCCAAAGTCTGTTGTGTGTCGAATGTCGAACTATTTGTTAAGAAGGTCTGCAACAGGCCTTTGGGGTAGGCTCTGCCAGAGACTGTGAACACTTTGCTTGAGATCCGTGCCCTGTAAAATGGATTTGATGTTTTACTGATGTCTGTAATACATTTGTAAACTTCCAATAAAATTTGAATAAAAGAAATGTGCCATTCTTCCCTTGCTTTTCAGATACTTGAAAGTCTTTGCCTTTGAGCATCTCAGCAGAAAAGAGAGAGGCTGCACATGTCAGGGATGAGATTTACTATGGAAGATGAATCTGATTATTTACATCAGAATTTCTCAACCTCAGAATAATCAACTTTGGGGCCTGTTTATTTGCGGCAGAGGACTGTCCTGTGCTTTGTAGGGTGTTGAATAACATCTTTGACCTCTACCCACTAGATGCCAATAGCACCCCTCCTCATGAGTTGTGACAACCAAAAGTGTCTCCATACATCACACCCATTATGATGAATGCTATTTTTAAAAAAACTAGAAACTAACAAGTGTGGGTGAGGATGTGATGAAAATGAGGACCCTTGGGCACTTCTGGTAGAAATGTAAAATGGAGCAGTCTCTGTAGAAAATAGTACAGCAGTTCCTTAACATTTTAAAATAGAATTACCATATGATCCAGCAATTCTACTTCTGGGTGTATACCCAAATAATTGAAAGCAAAATCTCAAAAAGATATTTGTACACCTATGTTTATATCGGCACTATTCATAATAGCTGAAAATATGGAAGCAACGTAAATATCCATCAGTGGATGAGTAGATAAAATGTGTTATATATGTGCAATGGAATATTATTCAGCCTTTAAAAGGAAGGCAATTTTGACATATGCTTCAATATGGATTAACTTCTAGACATTAAGATAAGTGAATTAAGCCAGTCACAAAAGGACAAATACTGTATGATTCCACTTATATAAGGTACCTAGAATAGCCAGGTTCATAGGATAGGTAGAATGGTGGTTGTCAAGGGCTGGGGATAGAGGAGAATGGGGAATTGTGAACTGGGTATGGAGTTTTAGTTTTTCAATGTAAAGATTCTGAAAATTGGTTGCATAACAATGAGAATGTACTTAACACTACTGAATATACACCTAAAATGATAAATTTATGTTGTCTTTATGTAACTGCAATTTAAAAGTAATATCTCCACCCATAGCTGAATGTCCCCTGGAGATAAAATTACCCCTGGTTGTGAACCATGAGTTCAAATGCTTTGCCACCTTAGCTTCTCTGTTCCTTATGGATTTTTGAAACTGACTCCTACCCAGGCCACACAATTTTTAGTTTTAGCTGGAATTAAAACCAGCAGATGACCCTAAAATAATTTATATTTGCTCTTAAGCAAATATTAAGTATTTGGTCTAGAGAATTATATCCACAGCTGTGTTCTGGTTAGAAGAGCATTAATATTGTCTGGGAGCCAGAACCAAAGCAACACATAAATTAGATTTTCCAATGTCTGATCCACAACATTGAGGAATTGCTGGATATTGCAATATCATTCATTCACTCAATAAATATATATTAAGAGCCTGTTCTGACCCAGGCACTTTTCTAGGTGCTTGGAATACAGCAATGCACACAACACAAACAAAAGTTCCTACCCTCTGTTAAGGATCTTACAAACTTGACTATCCACTAGGCTGGAAGTATGCAACAGCAAACATTCTCATCCACCCTAACCATGAGGGCTTGAGAGATGAAGGTGAGTTATTTAACTCTAAGGCCTTCTGAGAGCCTTTGGATGGAGACTTGTGTTGTGTCTGTTCTGCTCACAGGCCCTCATGGAGAGCATACCCCTCAGGCAGCCATGGTTTTACTATTCGACCCCCTCCTTCGTTCTCAGCCAAAATGAGTAGCATCAAGAATGGCACCTAGCCAGCAATTTACAAGTAACCTAACACAAGATGGTAAGCTGGACCAATCAGATTCCCCTTCTCAGGATTATAAACAGAGATTTTGAGAGAAAGAAGCAGTTATCAGTGGAAGATGGAGCTAAGAGGATGTATAGGGAGAGCAGCCATGAGTTAGGCTGACACCCATCCTGGTAAGGGGAGAGATGAGGAAGCAGAAGTGATGGGCAAGCAGAAGCTCAGGCTGAGAACAGGTGCAAGAACAAAGATTGCATAAACACAGAGATCTTAAATGGCTCAGAGGAGCTGCTCCCTGGGACCTCCTCACCTCCAACCAGATTCAGGTTCCTGCCCCTCTAGGATTACCTACCTACAGTTTTGGCGATTCACACACCCCTTCCCCATTGTGCTTATGTATTGTTATATTACACACCTCCATAAACTTTTGTTTGCATTTAAATGATCCTTACAACCTTAATTAAAACATGGAGAATGAATTCTGAATGCCAGTTACCACATTGTTTTGCACCATGTCCCTTTAGCAGTTTAATCCCAACTCAACCACTTCCTACTTGTACATTTTGGGAGATGTACATGTCCTCTCTAAGCTATCAAATGGGAGAACAATAGAGTTGTGTGAATATACTGGAATAATGCATGTGAATCTCTTAGTGCTGCGTCTGCCACTATAAGAGCTCAAAACACATTGTCTTGCTATTGTTTAGTAGTATTATTATTATTTCTATCCCACCCAAAGATAAAGGGTGGCAGAACCAGATACCACTGGTATCTAGTCTAAGAGTATTAATTTTCTTTTCTTTTAATTTAAGCATGAAATAGGATTTAGAAATATCTCCAGAACATCTGAATCTTCACTATGTATAGGAAATGCCTGCAGAGCTTATTAAACAATGCAAATCTAGTCCTGCCCACAGAGGTTCTGGTTCAAGGGATCCGGGATAAAACTGTACAATCTGCTTAAAAACCAGGGTCATCCAGTGCATTCTGATCTAGCTGGTTTGAGGACCACACCTCAAGAAATTCTGCCTTAGCATTAGTTTGTTTTCTTCCAAGTACCTGGGGAAAACATAACACCAAAAACCTATCTCCTGGTTCTACTCACTTGAGGAGAATTGGATAAGAAGCCCAGTGGTCAGGATGGAGATATCTGAGCCTGGGGTTTATACTCCAATTCTGGAGAACCTGAGGTATATTCACATTTTTCTAGGAGTGAGAGTCTTAAAAAAAAGAAATATAGTTTGATTTTAATTTTTCTTGAGCAACACAGATCATAGCTACACTGAGAAAAGGGTGGGCTTGTTGTGAAATATAGTCTCACAATTGTGATTGGACTTGAGAACTGCTACTCTTGGGTCATAGCTAATGGCTTTCACACATTAAAATTACTTAGATAGATTATTTAAAATCCAGAATCCCTGGCTCCATTCTTAAAAAGTCTGATTCAGCAGTATCCAGCACAACAAGGAAAACTGCATTTTCCTAAGGTTCCAGGCCACCTTTGAGAAAAAGTGGCTCTGAGCCTCTCTTACCATGGGAAAGTCTTCATCTTCTGGGAGCCCTTATGTGCCACTAAAGACTTCTAGCTTGTGTTACTGACTTTCAGTCTGGAAGAATCTGCTTCTCAAAAATTCATCTACCGTATGTGTTAACTAGACTCTGGTCTACTTCTGGCCTAGAATGAAAACATCAGCTCCCTTAAAAAACCCACACTAGTGTAATTTCTAAATACAAGTAATTTTGTGTAAGAGAGATGTCAAGACAAGAACCCAAGATAGAAAGTTTATCAGAAGATGCAATAGATAAATAGTCAAAGACAAACACAGGCTGCAGACATGGTTAAGCCATTAAATGTCACAATCCCATTCAGCAGGAGAGGAGATGATTTAAGAGCTTTCTCAGTAAAATATTATCAGGTACTTGTTTTCCCTAGGTTAGTGCTTCTAGACATAAAACAAGTTATCAGGAATCCTGGAAGGCTTTGTCATTAACACACCAGTTAGCAAATAAATGAAACCAGAGTACCAGAAAGTAAACCCAATAATGTGAGGAATTTGCTTTAAAAGCCAACTGTCTTAGGTCAGTATTTTTGGATTTTAAGTGTCCAAACTTACTTCAAACTAATTTGAACAGAAAGGAGAGAGGGCGGGGGGGGAGAGAGAGAGAATATTTGAAGGTACTGTGCATTTTATGAGGGCCATGGACAACTCCTGCATAAAGGCCTGATACCAGGACAGGAAAGCTACCAGGAGCTCAAAAGAACTTTATCCTAGTTTCTCTTTAATCTCCCTTTGCTTTTGCAGCTTTGGGGAACTCATGGACATGTGTGGCTCCTCACATTTAACCCTTTATTTTCATAAAAGAAACTCTGATTGTCCCAGCTTGGATCAGGAACTTCTTCCTAGTCCCATCAACTGTTGGAAGAAATGGGGTGATTCCTAGGTGCTAGCCTGCTGGCAGAGTGCTAGTTCATGTTCATTTAGGAGATTCCTAAAAATCCTGGTTCAGTAAATTAAAAGGGAAGCAGGAAAGCACAGGCTTAGTCTTTCTGGTAAGGAAGGTTTTCAGTAGAGAAAATCATGGGTTGAACAGACTCCTCAAAATGTATTTCCTATAAGAACTATCCTCATTACATCTCAAGGAGAAGAACCAAGATTATTATCTATTGGATGTATTGCTAAAGAGTTGTTTGCACTCTACTTAGAACTACCAGCTCAAAGGAAATTTTCCACCCCACCCCCCCCAAAAAAAACCTACAACTCCAACTGGCCCAGTCTCAGTCAAGTCATGCATTCAAAATAACACAATAAAGGAACCCAAAATATTATAAATCTACACTCAGTATTTCAAATCTATACTATTTCAACATACTTCTTTCATGGGTTTAGTGCTAATTATATTATTCTTGTTTATTGGAAAATGTGCCTGAGCAAGCCAGTACAAAGTCAGGGAACACTTAGTAGGTAATAGAAACCTACAGCTGAACTAGAAACAAATGAGTTGGTACAACACTTAGTAAAAGCTCCCATGGTAGAAGAGACACAAAGAAAGAAGTTGATGCTTGCTATCCAAAAACAAAAAAATAAATCTAGCAAAAGCAAATGTTTTTCTAACATTTTAGATACAATCAACTATATTTATTGTAAATAGGAGCCCCATAGACAAAGCTTCACAAAGTCATACATTCAAAAATTAGATAATGCTACCACCTCAAAATTTTTAGAAATATTAAAACCAACTTATTTATTCT